CCTCAACATTCACACTTATTTTCACGGAAAACCTATCTCCTCCTACAGTTTTCAAGCTACAGCATTGAGAGATATACCATTCGATTCGCAAAGAAGAGATCTACAAAAGTGTGTTTGGGTTTTTGTTATTTCGTTATAGTTTGGTAGATATTCAGCAAAAAGGGGGGCGGAAAGGGGGGTGACTCGAAAATTTGACGAAAATTTTGCGAAAAATGACCCCACATCCACAAAAATTAGAATTTCAAAAAACCCAAACACACTTTTATAGATATGGTCTTTACGCATCAAATGATATGTCTCTCAATGTTGTAGCTTGAAAATCCTAGGAGGAGATAGATTTCTTGAGGACCCCCTTTTTTTGCCGTTTTCTATGAATTTCACGTTTTCTTTCAATTTTTTTGGAAAATCGACTCGAACAAAAAAGTCTTAGATTTTTGTTTTACATATGTGTACCAAGTTTCAAAGTGATCCGTCCGTAAATAAAAAAGTTTTTCTGGAGGCCAGACGCTCCCCTTAAGTTAAGCTCTTTCATTTCTTTGACTTAGAGCATACCGCCCGACCGGGTGCCCGGTGGTACTAAAATGTCAAAGTTTTAATTTTTATAAAGGAAGATAGTCAAGATATTGTACAAAATGACAATTTTACAAATAAAATTTAGGATGTAACTCAGTTCAAGTCAGCGAAGAAATAACGCACGTGCAGACCAGCAAACACTGCCGTCATGGGACGTCGGGAACAGGACTGGGGAGCGGTGTTTACAGATGCATGAATCCGAAAAAGAGACAAAAAATACCCTAAAATAAGAAAAGGCTAATTTATTCCGTATTTCTTATATAAAGAAATAAGCTTTGACCAAAAAAGTAGGAATTTCTCAAGCTGGGAAGAATCCTTTGAAAAAATTGTAGAGTGCATATCTAAAGTTTAGAAAATGAAAAATTAATATGACCTACATGTAGACGAAGTGTAATACAGGAATATTATACTTTCAGACACAGGAATTCAGAAACAATACAAAATGCCGAGTTACACAAGTTCAACTTGGTCCTGCAACACTCAGCATCAGAGCATGATTTTATGCTCCCGCACATACTTCACGTTCGCATTTCTATCAACTTTATGATGGAGTGAAGGATTTTAAAGTAAACAATTGTTTTGCATGTGGATAATGTATTAGGTGTTCTATTTAAGAAGGTTTTCATCTGAGATCGCAGCAGAGACGTCACGAATTGTCTTACTGTAAAACCCTGGACTCATCAATAGTGGTTTAGAGTCAGGATCGAGTGTAGCGGATCACGCTACATAACTATATTAATATTGAAAGTAGTGACATGTAGCAAGCACAATTCATAGCAACACTGCATTCTGACAGCATTCACAACTTAAATCGTACGCTTTCGTAAATCAGAACTGTGACGAATGTGATCTAGGAAGAGTTCAAGATTTTAATTTCAGTCATTGAATTTCAGGTTTTAAGCTCAATTGGTAACTTGCATACTTGTCCAACTCAAACGAATGTACAATATTGACCGAATTCCATTTCGCAGCACATCCCGTCAAGCCTCGTAGTTTCTGCTCCTGTGACATCTGAGGGAAGTTGGTGACTGAGGGATCTACTGAGAGAAGTTTGAGGGTAACTGAGGGATCTCACTGAAGATTGAGGGATACTAGTCGTTTAATATTGCGCTGACGATTTTATATTTGACTGAGGCTTCCCTAAATACTGGTAGGGTAATGGGAGGATGCAGGTCCGAGTTTTTCGTGTTTATTTAGTTGAAAACAAGGAACAGCTTAACAACTAATAATCTCAAAGAAATTATGATATCTTTCCGCTTGGAGATTATACACTATAATATTATCTAGTCACTACACATCACTACCACAAGTGCAACTCCACGTGCTTCCCGCCACGCCACGTGCTTCTCTCTAAGTCATGTGAAACTCTACGTGCCTTTCACAATAATAGGTGTAAACCCATGTGCATCTCGCCAAGCCTCGGGGAACTCCACGAGCATCTCGCTGCACCACTTGCCACTCCACGCGCTTCTCGCTACGCCACGAGCATCTCGCTGCACCACTTGCCACTCCACGCGCTTCTCGCTACGCCACGAGCATCTCGCTACGCCACGAGCATCTCGCCACGCCACGTGCAATTCCACGTGTATCTCGTCTCGCCACGTGCAACTCCACGTGCTTCTATCTACCGTAAGCACAAGTTATTCCTACCACCTCGTCATCATCACGTGTTCCTGACCCCATGTCATTCTACGTGCTCTTGGCTCCTAGTTCCTCCTGTGGCCTCCATCATCAAGCAGGTCATGTGCGCTTAATATTTCTTGTCTCCAGATATGTTAACTGTTCATTTTAGCCAACCATTTTTATATCGCCTATTCTTTTATTTCTATCGCCTCAATGAAATCTTAAATGCAGATGCCAACGTTGTGAGCTTCTTTTACCATGGAATAAAACAATAATTTATAAGCGAAGAAAACAACCCAAAATTCACCATTTCTTATTAAGGAAAACGTTTCGGAGTCTAGCTCTATCGTCAGTTCAAAACCTAAGCCACATATATAAACAATTAGGAAACTAAATTCACATTGAAGATCTCGAAAAATAAATTATCAAATGAAAACGAATTAGAATGAAACAAATAGGCCTATTAGCAGACAACCCTATCTATTTATAATTTCGAGGGGATATGAACTGTAGGAAGAATTTAAACTAGGCTTATGTTTAAAAACATGTAGAGTTCACTAAAATTAGTAGATCATAAACACTATCAAATGCAAAGCTTCGTTCAAATCTCTGTTCAGTATTTTAGAAGAAATCTCTGGTACACTGCGAATGTAAGCACAATTTTGCTGTTTAACTCACGAATGAGGGAAAAGAAAAAAAATACTCGTCAACGAAGGCAAAATCGAAAAAATTGTCGCGAGCTAAACATCACCGTTAGGAGGTAAGGCTCCTATATGCAAAGTTTCGTTCAAATCTGTTCAGTATTTTAGAAGAAATCTCTGGTACACTGCAAATTTCGGCATGTTTCGTCATATAACTCACGAGTGAAGGCGATATTAAAAAAAACTGTCACGAGCTTGACATCACCGTTAGGCCATAATGAATATGTGTAGCCTGCTAAGTTTCATCGAGCTAAACTTGATCACGATGCAACAGAAGCAATATCATGATTAAATCGAAGAAGTGGATAGAAAAATATTCATCGTCTCTAATCTGCTAATAAAAATAATTGGAGATGCAATACCGGTTAGAAAAGAGATTTTAATTCAAATGATTTTATATAATTTGTTCAAAAATAAAGTTGATGAAGTTTTAAAATATTAGTTAACCCTTTCGTGACTGACGGGACTGACAGCGCCCGGACTGTGACGTACCACTCAATGTTTTACTCCATAACTTGCATACAGCGTACCATTCGAGGCATAGCTAACTACAGGTACACATGAGTATCACTCCTGCGCCTATGTCAACTCAAAAGTAATTGACTAACGGGACTGTGACGTCCCGCCCAACGATTTACTCCATAACTTGCATGTAGCGCTAAATTCAAGACAGCATTTTGCGGTCTCGAACTCGCAACTCACTGCTACAATTCTGCTGTGCTTAACCGCCCGGCCTCCTTGTCGATTCTGACCAGAAACTGGCGCACATAACTGGGATCGAACCCGCGCCTCTCTGCGCCAATCTTGGTACTCTGCACTTTAACCACTAGGCCACCCTGCCTAAATGTACAATCTAAAGGAATATTAATATATGTTCTTTTTGGTATATGTTATTGTATGAGCTATTACACGCGTTTGCCAAAGGAAGTTTGTGATATTATTCAACTACTAACAAAAAATATTACGAAAATATTTTTTTCATCAAAATCAGTGATGTCGTAAATTGTGTCATCTCCGTTGGAACCATATACTACCGGGATTTTCTAGTCCCAAATATATAAATTTTACCATTAACATATATTCAAATATTTTTTACGTAGATGCAATATTCGGTCCAAGTTCATGATGATTCTGTAGAAAAATACAAACAAAAAGTTGTAGAACACATTGCCGTCACAAAGGGTTAAAATCAAGCCATGACAGATATCCAGGAGAAAGACTAGCCAGTTCTACCTCGTTGCAACGCCTCTTGAGAAGAAGATTATCCACCCTAATTAGTCTACCGTAGGGAAAGAAAAACTGGACCGTTACTACCGTAGGGTTACTGGAATTTATGCACGATTGGCTCACTTGTTTAGAGAAGAAAAAAGCGAAAGAACGTTTCCACAATTTTTATCTGAAAATGGCAAGTACATTAAAGTAAACAAACTTTATCAGGTGCTCTTTCTCTTTGGTAGATGTTAGTGCTATTCTTGGTAGCTTACTAGCCTAATAACAATGATCTTGTCAAACATGTTGTATTATTTATAATTACCTTCTTGAAGAATTTTCTATTATTTAGGCTATACCCTTTATTATGATACAAATATTGATGATGGCATCCCTATGCCTATTGCTGTAAATCTTAGGGCTAGGGTAAACGCGGTATATTCCGACATCGTAGGTAATTCCGTCACTTCTCTAGTTTTTCCTTTATATTAAGCTTTGTTTTAGTTCCATGCGTTCATTAATGGTTGACATGGTGACGTCATACATTTGCGTGTCGAAATACTGCAAAACCACCAGGTTAAGGCCATCTAGCGGGAAAATATTGAGATCCAAAGAGAGACAATGCATGCCACGTGGTGAGATCATCGAAAAATGTGTCAAATTTGACAGTTGACATGGCTCTACCAAATAGTGAATAACTGTTTTTATAGGAAGAATATTATGGTTTGAGACTTTTAAATACGTCTGTGAATAGGGTAAACGCGGTATATTCCGACACATTAAGGACGCATCGAGAAATGAAAAACTATAAAAAAAAAACTGTATGCGTTACGTAAGTTCTGTTGCCTTCACATGACTCTCAAAACACTTCACTACGCGTCAGCAACGATGAAACATCACAAAATGTTGCCATATTTATTAAAAAGCCTTTAGAATGGAAACCTACCAAATCCCTATATTCCGTCACTTTGTGTGGCAACATCCAACGCGTGGTGAGTCGTATTGCGTCAGCGCTTCAAATTTAACTGATACGTATTGCTGACATCCACGTGTTCGAATTCTGTTTGCTGTGTGAGCTGTATTGGGATACAACACGGCTTTGAATTAGAACACTAACGAATATTGAACACTACTTAATTACGTTTTAATTAACAGCTATTAGGCTTTTAATTAAGCAAATTTCAATTTTTGTACAAAGCTTTGAACGATCTGTGTGTATCCAATTCAAGTTGTGTCAGAATTAGTTTTCATGTGTCGAAATCCAACATCTCAACTTAATCATTTATTAATTTATTAATGACTTGAAATCAGCAAATACAAGTACAGCAATCCCTTGATTAGCACGGTTTTGAATATCGCGGTTTTGATTAACGCGGAAAAAAAATTTGCAACCTACCCTTAATCTACGCGGTGCCAGTTTTGATTAGCGCGACTTTTTTTTCACAACGCATCATTTTCCCGCCTCTAGCCAGAGGTGTTACGTTCGTAACAAAAGTGTTACTTTTTGCTTATTAGATCCTATGTTGTTACTTTTGTTACGACTTTTGGAAAAATTCGCCAAATGTTGTTACTTTATGAATTTCAGACAATAATTCTTTAAATAAGGTCATGCGATATCGAGCCGCGAGATTCCAAATGTATTGAAAATTCGTCATGTTGAAGCCGCGAGATTTCAGAAACAAATAGAAAAATTCCAATCCTGACGGCTGGCAAATCCATAAAACCACGGCTCAAAAAATTCAGTCGCGGCTCGCCAAGTAGATATATTCCATACTAGGAATAACCTACCTAGAAAGGCTAGAATTAACCTATTCTCAGTATTCTGGATTCAGCCTGACTTAATCATTTAATGCTGATGTTCTAACTGTTCATATTGATTGATCATTAGTACTAATTAGTAATTGTACTGGTTTGCATCTAGAATAGGGTAAACGCAGTATATTCCGTCACATTAAGGATGCATCAAGAAATGAAAAACTATAAAAAATAACCATATGCGTTACTCCAAGTTCTGTTTGCTTTAGGTGACTCTCAAAACACCGTAGTACGCGTCGGCAATGATGAAACGTCACAAAATGTTGCCAACTTGCCATATTTATGTAAAAGCCTTTAGAGTGCAAACCTACCAAATCCCTATATTCCATCACTGACTTCACTGTGTGTGGCAATATTCGGCATGTGGTGAGACGTATTCTGTCCGCGCTTCAAATTCTACTGATACGTAATGCCGTCATCCACGTGTTTGAATTCCGTTTGCTGTGTGAGCTGTATTGGAATTAATGGAATACAACATGGCTTTGAATTAGAACACTAATGAATATTGAACACTACTTTATTATGCTTTTAATTAACAACTATTAAGCTTTTAATTAAGCAAATTTTAACTTTTGTACAAGATCTCAATATTTTCCCGCTAGATGGCCAAGACCTAGTGTTTTGGCATTAGTTTGACGCGCAAATGTATGACGTCACCATTTCAACCATCAACGAATGCATGGAACTAAAACAAAGCTTAATATAAAAGAAAAACTAGAGAGGTGACGGAATTACCCACAATGACGGAATATACCGCGTTTACCCTAAGTCCATAAAATGTAGGTAGATATTTTATAAAATATGAAATGTTTATAGATTAGAAGTTGGATTTATCATTTATATGCAAATAAATTTGACAATATGCTTTCCAACAGATTCGTTTCATCTTGATCCAGAATCGAGCCGGCAAGACTCGTCTGGCAAAGTGGTATATGAATTTTGATGATGATGAAAAGCAGAAGTTAATTGAAGAAGTGCATGCTGTTGTGACAGTCAGGGATGCCAAACACACCAATTTTGTTGAGGTGAGAAGCTTATATATTTACTTTAGCTTTAGTATTACACTCAGACTAAATGATAAATTTAAATCTGATACTTTTTATAAACTTATGATTTCCTAATACTTTGCTTGCAAACTATAATTTTATAAAAGAATTTTTGCAAAAATATAATATAAGTATATTTCCCAGCTGATTTTTAAAAACTGGTTGTGAAAATTAGTTATTTTTCTTAATTTATACCAGAGGAGAAATTAATCAAAAGCAGAGTTAGAATTTTCCTACTTATTACTGAAATCTTGCAGCTCAAAAGTGACAAATTTTGATACATTTAGAATCTCACTGCCCAATCATGCACTTCTGTTGACAATACTGATAGAAGTTTATCAACAGAAGAAACTTCTGTTGATAGAAGTTTATTTGTATAGCAGGAATCTCAAGGCTCCAAAAATTGCAGGTAAGCTCTAGTCATGCCCCAAAAGGTAGGTAGATATATTCCACCTCAGGGCAAGAATAATGGGAACGGGTAAAAGTGTCTATGAGCACAGTATTGGAATTTTTCCAATCAGCAAAATTTCAAGGCTCTAAGGTGACAATTTTTTTATACATTTTGAATCTCATGATGGTGCAATCATGCTCTTTTATTATAATTTGAAAATAGGTATTTCTGCTAGCTGCATCTTGCAGCTCTGAATATCAGAATATGTTGATAAAGCTCTAGTTGCGACTGAAAAGGTAGATATATTCCATGCCTGCATGAGCATAGGCATTTTTGTCTCATTCACAGGGGGCTTGTACCATCCAGAAATCATCCATGTAAAATAATGGTTTATGTAAAAATTAATTTCCAGGATAATAACAATTTGTATTTTTTTTAAGCAAAGATCAGAATCATTTCAAATTTCTTTTTAGAAAAGAAAAAGTAAAAAGAAATTAGTTTATAAAGCTGATCTGAAATATTCTAGACTTCAATTATATATTTGATTCTAAATATCTCAAGTCTTAGAGAAAAGCTACATGCAAAGTAGATTTTTATTTTTTTGCTCCTTCATGAAGAAGTGGACTTTTCTTGATGTTCTTAAATCTTTTGCAGTCAAGCATAAAAATGTGCAGAAATTGAAATTTTCGAAACCAGTGTAGAGAAGTATGGGTACTATATCTACTCATATGAATTTTTCAAAATTTTACATATTGGAGAAGTCAATCGCAGTTGGAGAATTTATTAAATGTGGTCACTTCTCATATTCTTTTGTATAATCAAAATTTGAACACACAAATTAAGTGAGTAACTATTTGACTTCAATTAATGGAATTTCATCAATTTACCTTATATATTTAAATGATGACCTAGATATTTCTACTGCTGTCTTTGCAATTTTTTGGGATGGGTAAATTTTTAAATTGTAGAGGTAAAATTTCCTTAGGAAAGATTTCTGACCTAAATAAGTTTATACAGAATGGCCTCCATTGATGCCAGCTGGCTATTAATAATAATTATATAATATATTTTTATTATATTATTTTAATATAATTTATTTTATTTTTAAATTAATTTCAATAATAATATAATATAATATTTTTTACTAAATCCTAGTGAGCTATTAATGTTTGCATCATAATATATTGATCAGTTGCATGGGGTGCTTTTCAATATCATGCTGAGTAATGCATTTTTTTCTTTTATTCCAGTTTCGAAACTTCAAGATAGTTTACCGCCGCTATGCAGGACTATATTTCTGCATTTGCGTGGATATTGCTGACAATAACCTCATATACTTGGAGGCGATTCATAATTTTGTGGAGGTCCTCAATGAGTACTTCCACAACGTGTGTGAGCTCGATTTGGTGTTCAACTTTTACAAGGTAAGGGTTTTTCAGCACTATTAATAGTCCTGGCTTTTTGCTAAACTTTCAGAAGTATTTTTTATTTTATTTTAAGATTGGATTCTTTTTGCTGCTTGCCAAATTAAATAGTTGAACACTTTCATAAATTTGATGTGAGAGATAGGTTAATAATAAACTTATTTTGTTGTAGGAACGTGGGACAATTAATAATGAATGCTAAGAACATTGCAAGCTAATTGGTAGCATCAGTTACTGCCGAGTTAAATTTCACCAAGCTTAGAAAAAACTTATTTTGATAATTAGTATGACATTTATTGTAGAATTCAGAAACAACCTAGAAGTAGGAAATTGTTGGTAGATTTCAAGAAGAATATAAAAAAAATATTTGAAGCCTGCTCATATGTGATCATTAATATAAACATGTAAAAACAACTTCCGGTACTACATTGCAATTCATCACATGTCCTTTCTTGTGGAGTTATTAAGTTTATTGAATTTGCTGATCAATAACATTTTTGAATGTGCAACAAAATATTTTTAACTAGACTTATTTTTTTTTTGCAGGTATACAGCGTTGTAGACGAAATGTTCTTGGCCGGTGAGATACGAGAGACAAGTCAGACTAAGGTTCTAAAGCAACTTCTCATGCTTAACTCATTAGAGTGAAGATCCCATTTGTACTCGGCTTTCCCACTCGTCAACACTACTTGGGTTTGTGATTTGAGTTCCCTTCGTGCCACACTTCTCATGAAATATTTTTCATGTTTAAAAACTTTTTTATCTTCTGATTGATGAGTAAGCAGATTAAATGCTAAATAGTGAGTAAAATTGCTGTAAATTATTTTTTTGTTGCTAATGTTAATGATACTACAATCTCCACAATATTTTCCATAATTTTCCATCCAAAAATTGTATTTGAATGTAAAGAGGCAATGTAATTTTTCATTCGTAATTTGGGATATAAATGTATATATTTTTTATTACCTTGATTCCTTAAAAGCCATTTAAATTTCTAAAAACAACTTTGATGATAAATTTGTGTTTTGCAGAGAATTCAAGCCGTCTGCTGCCATCTGGTCATCTTCAATACCTAGTAAATATTTTGATGAAGATGACAGGAATCTCCTATTCATTAACTTGATTAAGAATTTTCTTCATTTTGACTTAAAATCAATATAAAATTACCTCTTATTTTCAGTTTCCAATTAATTGGAATTTGAATTGGCAATAACCTAGGTTTCTTACAAGGATAAATTTATTATTTTTATTTGTTTATTCATTTTTTTTGGATGAGGGTGTGAATTTAGTCTGGACTTTCTTTGCATTCTTGGTAGGTTGACTGTCCACGAGCCGGTTTTTGTGTGATGGGTTGAAATGATGACAGCTATAAATCATTTCACTATGTTGAAAATTATTCATTGGTCAGAAGGTTTGAATACATCCATGATTGTTGAGTGCTCTGCTAATCATGCTGTCGAAGAGGTTATTAATATAATTGCTTTACTATTATTTAACTAAATGAACACAATTTTTTGCATGTTCCCAGTATAGCGTTGAAAATCAATTTTAAAATCCCCTTCATTCATAAGAATGAATCTGTCGTATTGTGTGAACGAACAGTAGGTTAGTGTAATTTAGTAAAGTTGACATTTTTGTTATTTTATTCTATAACTTTAGTTATATTAATAAAAGTTTTTGAGGAGGTTGCTGATATTAGAAAAATTAGTTTTCAAGTCAGCGGATGAAATTTCATATGTGTTGGTAAGTGAATTATATCTGCAAACAATTGTTTTGGATCATATATGCTCATTAGTAATCCAATCAAATCATTTATATTTATCGCGAGTTTGATTCACTACTTAGGTACGTATGCAATTCTGAGCAAGTTTATTGATATAATAAATTCATAAATTTATTTTTTGTGTTCAAGCCGTTCGTTCTGTCCCAATGTTGACACAACTTGTAAAAAGAGCATGAACTGTAGAAAAAAATCTTGAACCTATATTAGAACCTATCCGTTTGATGAATTGAGACGATTGAATGTATAGTATAGTATGAATATATAGGTAGTATATCTATATATTCATATACTATATCTATACTATGAACAGTTTAGGTTTCAGCTGTGTTGTCTTTTTTGTTACAGAACTGTAACGTTGTGCAGATCTGGTCTGGCTTGTTGACGAGTTAAATGCGAGAAACCTTTGTGAATTCTTGTTGTTCAGCGGCCATGAATTGTAGCTACGGCATTCCAATTATTCTTGGTAGCTTAGTAAGATACTACGTGTTTTCCCTTAGCTAGTAAATGTCTTGCTGCCGCGATTTTGAACTATTTATTTATCCTAATAATTGCGTCTATCAATCCTTGTTGTAGGCTGGAGAAATCTATTATTTTCTCGGTTTATAGTTCAGCAAGTTCCTGTAACCTTAGGGCCTTTTTTCATGTTGACTAAAATTCACGTTAAACTCAATTGATGAAAGAAATACCCCAAGTTTGAAACGTGGTCGGAAAGCTTGCTTTTAGTGTGCATTCATGTCCGGTTTCCATGTCCAAACATCGTCAGCTATGGAGCGCAGAAATCATGGTCGAAGTAGTATAAGGTTGACCCACGAGGTGCTCATTTTTTGCGGATGTAGCTTGTTCGTCTGTGAGTTCACTGTTCTCAGTGACGTCACGGGCATTGACCAATCACCAAAAATGCTATTAAACCAGTCAACCAATCCGCCGTGGGATTGTTTACGTTTTTCGTAAGAAGAAAGCTGAACTGAAAGACGGATGTCCTCGTGTGTCTACCCTATATAGTTCAACCATGGCAGAAATATATTTGTGATTGAAAATATGTGTTCTTCTCCATTAGTCTTTGAAATTTTCTCTACACCCCCAGTCAAATTTCTGATAGTGAAACGATAGATGCATTGCCATGGTTCTGTGCCACATGTCGAAGTAATTATAAGGAAAAAACTTGGTGCAGTGAGCAGCGGATTTATTGTAACGCTGTGATCTACACTACATTACTGAATGAGAGATAGGAACTACATTACTGAATGAGGGAATACGAACTTTTACATCAAAGTGAATGATTTTGCGATATTCCGATGACAGTTGAGCCGCACAAATCACAATAATTCTACTTCTGGCAATTTCCCACGCTAAAACGCTCAAGCACTTTTTTGTCGAATCGGTTTTTGTCCATATTTTCATCTACAAGAAGCGAGGTGAAATGGTTCGGTTTTCTCGGTCATTGTTTAGGACGGATACACATGGCAGTAAATGGGAATAGATTAAAATATTCGATTTGAATGTAGTAAAAAATTTGTTTGCAGTGCGTTCAGCTTGCGATGAGATGAACGCATTTAAGCGAATTAACGATACGACATCATCCGAGGTAATTAATTGGATCTTTGGAAGTCCATAGTTCGATTTACTATTTGCTCAATTCACCGCTGAAACTCAAAAGTATGAATTAAAATCATTGTTCACATTTGCTTACATAAATCGCGGTTCCACACAAGAAAAAATATATGTCAGGAATCAGGATAGATGATGATATGGTTACTTTTCTAATACTTACTTTAATTATTATAAAAGGACTGCCAAATTATCGAATAATTCATGTTTTTGTTGTTCTGCATTACCCAAACTTTCAACTCTCTTCCTATTTGACGATTAGTTCCTGCATCATTTCACCGCTTCGACGAGAATCATATTCGTTATGACACGTTATATTCCGCCCATCATCGTAGTTTTTCCGGAACCATTTTCTGTGAGTGATTGTTGTTCTTGAATCGATTGTGCCGCGGAGGTGCACGCGGCACAGCAGACTGAGATAGCAGCAGTCGCGAAGCAAACGCTTCCGCTGATCACAGCTCTGACGTAGTAAGTTAATTTTGTCTGTTTAATCACAGTTTGCCTGGGATTTCTTTTTATCTCGAGAAAATTTCTTATAAATGCCTGAGTTGAATACTTTTGCTTTGTGTGAAAAGGGTTCAATCTTTTTCATATGAATGTTCGGTGCTGAAATGTGATAAATTTAGCAAAAGTCCATCTTATTTGTATAACTGCTTGAGACAAGCTCATGACCTGTTGTGATGAGCTTTATCATTGAAGATAAAATTGTATTTTTCTATTTACATTGTAGAAGCATTTGCTGCATTAGATAACGAGCCCGTCTTGTACAGGTGCTCGATAATCATTAAAGCGGGTAAGCAATCAACTGATATTGTTTAATTACTGTGACCAGGTTCATCTGAGAAGTGATTGCCTGATGAATAAACAAACTGTTAACATGCCATCGAATGCAGCACAGGATGAAATTTTAAAGTTAGTGGATGGCCTCGAGTGTTGGAACGTAGGCGAAGCTTTCACCCAAAAGTGAGTAAAATAAATAAATGTAACCGAATAAAATTTTGGAAAATAATAGTCGACTGATGAATATACACAATGCAATGTAGCTATAAAGTATTCATTAATCCTTGTGTTATATCCTTGTGTTATGTGTTTAAACTCCCGTGTGGACAGGGTGGCCCAGTGGTTAAAGTTCAGAGTACCAAGATTAGCGCAGAGAGGCGCGGGTTCGATCCCAGATATGTGCGCCAGTTTCTGGTCAGAATCGGCAAGGAGGCCGGGCGGTTAAGCACAGCAGAATTGTAGCAGTGAGTTGGGAGTTCGAGACCGCAAAATGCTGTGAATGTTCTGCGATGTTAAGAATTGGCGACAGGCCTACGGCCTAATAAACGCTGAAACCGCTATTAATTAATTAATTAATTAATATATGTCTAGTATGGCATATCACAATATTGTAACCCACAAGAAAGATTGTACAAGAATGTCTCATATTTTTTAGCAAATAGCTGGTGGTAGGTAATTCAATTATTTTATTTCCTTCAATGGGGAGCTATTATTTGGTGTTCGTAAATATGCAGTCTTATGATAAAAGCTTAAGAGTAGTTCGATTATTCTCAATGACAAGTAATACAGTGGAAAAAATATACGACATGCATATAAACTATCAGAATTTCAGAGAGCATCGCACTGTCGTAGCAAACTCGTTGCTAAGGACGCCGTCGCTATGCGCATCTAACTTTTCGCCATGGCAACGTAGCAAACTTTGTCTTTTAAAGTTAACGCTAAATTATTAACAAATTTAAAATAGAGCAAAAACATTTTAATATGTCAAAAAGGCGTCATCAATAGTTCAAGAGCCTCCAATTTAATATGCAGGATTAAAATACAGTGCAATGCTTGAGACGCAGAATTATGACTTAATAACTCTAAATGACCAATATTGACACTAACTCCAATCCTCCAATCCAATTCACCTGCACACATCTTCATCTTTTCAAAACTGTTCTTTCTTCCCAACCTTGCTCCCGACTTCTTATCCACGAAGATTGAAATGAATGTGTGTCGCGTGGCAGTTAGCCGATAAAAAGGCCAGACGCTCATCTTTATTTATTTTGTACTTTATCTTCGTTAATTTTCTATTCTCGATGACAGTGATTCCATCACTAACCATCAGGTCGCTTTCAGTGTCAAACTTTAATCAATTTATGAATATTATTGTTTTTTATATCTGTAAATTTTTTATTGACAATACGTAGATGATTCTTGCTTAATAGTTATATTTTATTAATGATCTATCTCAGATGGGTGGAATCGGCGTGTCAAGTGATCAGCTTGCACGTTCACAGCAGCCTGCAAGCAGCGTCAGCTCGCGCAAGCTCTGAAGACATCAAAATCATAACACCTCAGACCCAAGCTCTAAGACCCACCCCACCAGGCATCACACCTCAGACCCAAGCTTTAAGACCCACCCCACCAGGCATCACACCTCAGACCCAAGCTCTAAGACCCACCCCACCAGGTATCACACCTCAGACCCAAGTTTTAAGACCCACCCCACCAGGCATCACACCTGAGACCCAAGCTTTAAGACCCACCCCTCTAGGCATCTCACCTCAGACCCAAGCTTTAAGGCCCACCCCCCCAGGCATCACACCTCAGACCCAAGCTTTAAGGCCCACCGCACCAGGCATCACACCTACGGCCATCACACCTGAGTCTCAAGACTGTTTATCTGATGCCCATGTCATCGTATCTTCTACCAAAGCAATTTCTCCCGACACTCAAACCATTATTTCAGACACTCAAGTAATGAAACTTGATACCCACATCATCAAGCTTGACTCTGTCGACATCACGACTGACACTCGCGTCATCAGTCACGACACGACTGACGTGTCGCAGCTGCTGTTGCAGCGCGGTAAGGTGAGATCTTCTCTATGATTTATTTCCGTGTGGGCGGACGCGTCGACAGATTTTTTTTGCGGTTCAGCGTTTTGCACGAGCGCTCGCTTCTTTATTTTGTGTTCCATGGCAATTAATGGTAGCTCAGGAATGTCTGAGCGGTTTACTGCATTTGTTCCAAGCAATATATAGCCTCTTCTGTTGCATGCAGTTTTGAGTGTACATGATGGAAACATTGTTCACGTTAGTGATGAAGAAAATGGAAATAAATTTTCGGAAATTGTTCTCATTTTAATTTGGGACGCTGTGAATACATTATAGATGAACATTTTATTTTGCTAACTTTTCTTATTATAACACATTCATGTGACTAGAATTGCTAAAATTAAACAGTATTAAAAAATTTTTCTCAGGCTACAGCAGTCGTTTGGAATTTGATCCAAACAGAATCTATTCGTAGATTAATTTTATCGCAAGTTCATGCAATGGAAAATCCAGTCAGCTCCAGCAAAGGCGTCGTTCCTTCTTCGCATAGTTCAAATGAGGAACTTTCACATTCGGAAGAGAGTCTTACCGGCAACCTTGTTTCTAATGCCGCACATATACAAGTACCTGAAGAACAGAGACCTATGGGGGGCGTCGAAACAAAGCATTCTGTGCCCAAAAAAGGATTAAATGTTGAGTCATCATTGCCCGGGTCTTTCCTGGTGAGTTATTATCTTCAAATATACGGAAATACGTATATCGTATACGTATCGTAATATACTATTCAAATATTTGTAAACTCAATGACTTCGCCTTTGGGTTTACACTGGTTTGCTAATATATATATTTACTTTGATTGCACCATAGTTGAAACTACTTAGTAGGGATGGTTACAGTATTTTGAGTCCTGAAATTTTAAAAATTATCTATAATTTTGCTTTGAATGAGAGTAGAAGGCAATGGGGTTTCCTTTGATTAGCTAATATACGATTGATTACACCATTTCTGACATTATTTGGTATTGATTATCATAGCATGCTGATAGACGAAATTTGAAAATTGGCTATAATATAGCGCTGAATGAGAGTAA